AGTAGTAACACTCACCTGAATATTTCACCTACCTTAGCAGCAATTTGCAGAATATCCAATCGCCTCTATCAAAACATTCAACATATCAAAAAAGGTTCTGAACTAGAAAAAACTCACCCCTTCCGCAACCCCAAGTAGCAGAAAGAAAGGAGAAAAGGTGGATATTGCTCAAGTGAAAGTAAGTGAACAGCCTACCTCTTTTAAGTCACAGAGAGTATATCTTGAAATGGAACTAATTAAAAACCCCTCCCACCACAAATTTTAGTACATAAAATGCTTGACTGGAACTCAATAAGGACGTGAACGGTTTCCACCATGAGACTGTCTATCTGGGCCAGAACCTCCACCGTCTCTGTAGTTATCCCTGCGCCCGCCACCATAACCTCCTCGACCGCCACGGCTGTCAAAGTAAAGAGAGACTTGAGCATAAGAGATATATTAACTCTCCAAATTAGCACAGGGACTCAGAAGTTCAGAATACACAAAACATCCCCACCCCATTTATACCTTTAACCCAACAAATAACAACAAGTGGGGTCTGGGGAGGGTAGTAGACTGTACGCAGACCTTACCCCTATCTCGTAGAGATAGAGAGGTGGTTTCCGATATACCCTCAGCTTAAATAAAGCCAGCCAAATATACCATTAACCCAAAGGAACTATATAATATAAAAGAAACAACATATTCTTCATTCAATCCAATAGATAAAACAATTTTCTATACCTTGAGCCATTAAAATATATATAGTTATATACAGTTCGAAATGGCAATAGAAAGAATATAGGGCAGGAAGAATGCATAGGGTGTCAATCAGTAGGTGGATTTTCAAGTAGCAAAGGTGGACAAACAATTAAAAGCACTAAAAAAAAAATTAAAACAGATTAACACACAAAAAAAATAAAAAACACTTATTCTTGAAAGCACTATGAAATTATTTGATACATGTAACTTTACAGTTTTACATTGATATATACATAGATGATGCTGATAAATATATTTTTACAGGATAAAGCAAAAATGTTCAGTAGTGAAGCAACACAATTAAGATTAAGCTGGTTCCCATGCACCTCAAAAAGGACAAATGTAGTACCAAGTTATAGAAATGAAATATTAATTGCTCAATTTACTTTACTCTGGGAACAAATCAATGTATCAATGATGTTAACAAATTACTGAAAAATAATTATTGAAATTAAACTTCAATATACACACCTGAGGTAAACATCAAGCATGAATTTTAGGCATGCAAATTCAGTATGAAATTTGACACAACAATTACAGTTAACATTAGATGCAAGAACAGCTCTGCTCATCTGTGCATAGTAAACAACCAAAACTCCAGAGATTTTGTAAAAATAACCATACGTCCACTATATAGTAAAACACACTTGCTAACTCTGTATACATTCCACAGCACAACCACTAAGACATGTTGTGAGTTAATATAAACTGTGAATTGTAGCACAACTGGATGTAATATGCAATGGAATAGAAAGAGTGTGCAGTAATTTAAGAAGGCTCACCCAGAACCAAATGCTGGAGGCGGCTTTGGTGCAGACTTTTCAGCCATTGCTACAGTGATTTTGTAACCTCTGAAGTCATGATCTGATGATGATTATATTTATGGTCAGCATGTAAATTATATACTGCATAAACTCAATTGAATAAATTTGGGTCTAGTTAGTACTATTGAAAAAGCCGCCGGCAGAATGAGCTGCAGAAGGATCTTCGTATGACAGAACTGCATCTCCTTTGTTATTTCCCTGTTCGTCGGTGTATAGCTTTATGCTCCAAGGCCACTGGTCTTTGTATCCTCGTTTTTGCTTGATTCTTGCCACCTACACATTAAAAAAGAAACAACTTGAGCACTAATCCTGGTATATATATGGTAAGAGAAAGTCACAAAAGTAAACTACTTCATTATCACAAATCAATGGCAATATTTAAATGGTCTGCAAAATCAAGTAGATCATAATAGCAGGTATTTGGTCGTCCTTTTGTCTAAGCTCAGGCATCAATACCACATTTAACACAGCAAGGGTTCAAGTGAAGTTAGAGAAAAACAACGTAAATGCTACAATACAGAATGAATCTGATACTGAGAATCATAACCGAAAGAAATCTGCATATTACTTGTCCAATGCTCCCAAAAAGTTCTCTAAGTTCTTCGACGGTCACATCAGGAGGCAAATTTGAGATATATATTCTTGCGTTGTCACAGAGATCTCCACAATTCTCATCGCATTGCTTGACCTTTACCGGAGCCTCAGCTGGAGAACTACCATAACCTCCTCCTGTATTCCGGGCACCACCGCCATATCCCCCATCATATCCACCCGGCGGGCCACCCCGTCCACCCCCACGGGCATCAGCTGGTGCATCCCCACCATAGCCACCAGGGGCACCATACGAAGGGGGATAAGATGCAGGTCCACCAACATAACTCGCAGGCGGGGGAACTACATCAGGGTTTCCACCATAAGTATTAGAAGGTGGTGGATAGTTGCTATCAGCTGCCCCATAAGATGGAGGAGCATGAGGAGGACCTTGAGCATAACCACCACCATCTCTTCCCTGACTACCACCATAAGAACCAGTTCTACCACCTCCAGCATTTCTGCTTTCATAGCTGTCACCTCTTCCCCCTCGACTATTTCCATAGCCGCCATCACTTCCACCTCTGTTATAACTGCTACCACCTCTGCCACCACGATCATCAGAACCAGCAGGTGAAGGAGCACCACATTTGTTACATTCAACTCTTCTAGCAAAGTTCAAATTTCCACAACTACACCCAGACATGCCAGAATTAATAACAATTGACAAGAAATGGTAACAATCACAGTAACATATGTTAAATGAAATATTAGGAAATGAAACCCAGAAGACATAACCTTGAACAACCACCGCACTGAACTAACATCTTGTCGAATTGATAGGATAGACGCACTATTAAAATTAGAAGGACAAAGGCAAGGAGAATCAAAATAAATTTTCTTTTTTTTTATGAAATAGCAGTGTACTAATAAAATAACTAAGCATCCAGGGGTGCAAGATTTACAGAAGTAGGAAGGCAGAAATAGACCCTTTCATAATACAAGAGAGTTGACAAAATCCAAGAATTGTTCAGGGTTATACAAAGGTGTAAGGTTAACCCAACTAAAAAGTAAGACTAAACATAAATTTCTTAGCGAACCTGCACACGGAAACACTGGTTATCTTGAGCAAAATGACTGGACAATTCAGTAGCAGGATTTCATACAAGTTATGAAATAGGAAATCATATATTTCTAGTGAAAAGATAACATGATTTTCCAAAAATTAACTTCTGTTTCAGCTTAATGAGATTGCACAAACAAACACTGCCTCGCTATCGATTGGCTTAGGTTCAAGAGTAGAAGCAAATATAACACTTTTTTGCTCTTACGGAATTAAGTAGGAGTCTCACAAGGTTTAAAGGTATTAGGGGGAGAAATGAGTAAGGATAATTTATCATGACCTGGATATCCACGAGAAGGATGTGAGAATATTACCTTGGGTTAGGGCAACGCCAATCACCTTCCTTACCACTTCCTCCACCACGACCGCCGCCGCGACCTCCACGATCTCCTCCCTGGTATCCACCGCTACCTCCACGATCTCCTCCTTGGTATCCACCACCACCTCCACGATCTCCTCCTTGGTATCCACCGCCACCCCCACGATCTCCTCCTTGGTATCCACCGCCACCTCCACGATCTCCTCCTTGGTATCCACCGCCACCTCCTGTAAATAGAGCCACATATGAATTAAAACTCATTCAAACTACAGGCATAGTGTAATAATTCAAATAAATACCTCGATTATGGGAACCACCACCATATCCTCCACCTCCTCGACCACCACCACCACCACCTCTACCACTGCCTCCGTAACCACCACCTGAAGCACCATATCCTCCACCGCCCGATCCATACCCGCCGCCTCCTCCGCCACTTGGTGGCGGAGCAGATCCGCCGCCTTCGTAACCGTACGTACCGGCCATCGACTGCACTAACTAGGGTTTATGAAATGAGAGAAGAAAAGATAAAGAGTAATAAAATACTATTTGGGGATAGAAGGGTAAACTTTTATATGCCGATTACAGAAGATATTTTTCCTTATTAATCTTTGTCCACTTCTCCAGCAAATAATCACCTACCTTACTTGATTCGGAGCTCAATTATTCCCTACTAAATTTCACAGAAATTGTATTTAGTGATAATTTTATATAAGTTATATTTATGTTTAATAATTGAGAGGAGGTAAGTTATTCATGTATAAGAATAATATAGAATTTGATTACAATTTTAAAATTCATATAACTAATATATTTATGCATAACTAAATACATAAATTTCTTCTGCTTAATATCTGCCTAATTTTAATCAACTATCAAACAAACCTTACATTTTTCTCTTAAGTAGATAGATAAAGGGATAAAAATTGCAAGAAATTCAAGTTAATTTGCTAAGCAAATATACATCAAACCCCAACCGCAAAACTTGCTTCATTAACACTCCGTTGATATGTAATTGAAGGGAGTTATCGATGGGCAATCAACTCTATTAAGCCGTGATATGTTGTAAATATAATTAATATGAAGGGTTGTGTCAAATTACATTTGAAATTCTAGTAAAATGTGGTCGTGATATGTTGTGAAATAATATGAAGGGTTCGTATGAGAGTATGTCAAATTACATTTGAAATTCTAGTAAGATGCCTATATATATATAAAAGAGTAAAACAGTCCAGTAGGACTATGCTATGAAGGTGTCTCTTTATTTCTTAGTTGCTTAAATTAATACTACAACCTCTCTCTCTTCTTTCTTTTTATTTCTTCTTCTTCCTTCGGTAATTTAATTATAATGATAACTTATTCCTTTCAATTATATCTTTCACTATAATATGGATTCGTTACAGTATAATTTACATAAATCACATAATGTTGAGCATCCAGCCTCTTTTGTGCCTCCTCAATAATGGTGCCATATATCGGCCTTGTTGAGAGGATCACGGTAGCGGATTATTTATCCATCATAACTCAGAAGTGTTCGATTGGGCTTAATTTGCTTCTTCTTGACAATCCAGCCCACAACTAATATAACATGGGCTTGGATGAAGTTTTGACATATGAAATCTTTAGACAAATAGCCTTTCGAATTCAGTTTTTTAAGTGTATATATGTGTTATACTACTATATTTATTGTATATTCATCAAAAACTTTTATTTTAATTGGTTAGGTGAACTAGAGATGGATTCCTAATTTAATTGTTAAAGTTCTTAGTGTTGAACTCACTGAATTTCTAAAATTATGCGTCCAAACCTATTTACTATCTATTACAATATAAATATTTTTTTTATAAATAAATTTATGTTCCACACCAAAAATACTAAACCAGGTGTTTGCATGTTGCATTCACCATTGGGATGGACACTATTTAAGTAGGCGTTTGACCATATAAATTTCTAATATTTTTCATATTTTTTTTGGCAGAAGTACTCATTACCCCCCTGAACTTGAAGCTTTTTATACGGTGTACACCTAAACTAAATTCCGTTTTAATTACCCCCCCGAACTTGTTTATTCCTCCGTCGCGTACACCTTTTTCGTCCACCTGGCGTAGAAATTGACAACAATCTCTACTAGGCGCGTGAGGAAGTGATTTTTTGCCACATCATAACGCTACAGCGATAAAAAAAACGTAAAATCTTCATTTTTCTTTAATATTTGGCATATTTTAAACGAAAAATAGGGTAAAATGTAAATGAAAAGTAAAGGAAACAAAGATTAACACTTACTTGGTAAGAATTTCAGACAAATTTGAAATTTAATCGACCAACTTCATGTAAATCCAAAAGTCGTTCCGCGAAATCAGCCCTTATTCAAAAATAACTTTTAAACAATGAATTTTAAATTTAAGAAATTTATTTTTTGCAATATTAATTTATCCAGGTGGAAATCCACATCACCAATTTAGACAGTTGTCGCGCGCGTGTAGTCCCAACAGGAGTAGGTGGACGAAAAAGGTGTACGCGACGGAGGAATAAACAAGTTCGGGGGTAATTAAAACGAAATTTAATTTAGATGTACACGGTATAAAAAGCTTCAAGTTCAGGGGTAATAAGTACTTTTGCCTATTTTTTTTAAGAAAAGGAGGAGGTTAATCAAATTGAACATGCAATGATGTGATATAAAGGTCAAAATGTGCATTACTCTAAACAAAAGAGAGATCAATTCATCTTGAATCAACTCGGATTAGATAACACCGATATGGATGGGACTAGAGGAGACATATAGAAAAAATTGTTTAAAAAAATTGTTGAATATTCCATAAGATAGTTTTCAAGAAACCAACAAACATATGGCATAATTTTATTTTATTATATGATAAATCATTTTTAGCAATAGCATTGTTTAGTGAGTATTAATCAATTAATGAAAGAGAAAACAAACAAATGGGAAAGTGATTTTGAATAGGTCAAACTCAAGTGAAGCGATGACTCACTCCTCAAAAACCTCTAACTCATAATGAATATTCCTTCTTCTTATCTTCTACTATATATACTTCTTCTTTTTTTCATCGGTATTCAGATGGTATGAGAGTTCAATTGAAATTTAATTGCATATTATTATAGGACTTATTTTGAGACAGTATTTTTTAATAAACTTGAATATGAGACCTTTAATTAAAAGAAAGGAACACAATCATCCCACTCAATCCATGTTAGATTCGACTAGTTATTTGACTAATGATTTTTCACTACACGCACCTCATGTGATTTAATTTTCTCCATCAACGTGATTGTTAGACTTAATTAAGTTTTACGGAAGTACTAATTATAATTTATAAGCACATAATTATTATGTTGTGTGAAAAGTCATACATTTGATGTTTACGGGATGCGTGATCTCTTTAATATGACTTGCACAATTCTCATCTCTTGAGCTAGTTTTTATTGTTGAGTTAGACTTAACGAAATATTTGCCCTTGCTGTTTGCAGCATGGCAAACTTGAATGTTTGTTGAACACTGTACAGGCTTGTGCGATAGATGTGTGGCCAGATTTGGTAAGTTATGCAGTTGATTGGCTAAATGAATTTTTTGTATCAACTTTTCTCTATTCTGGTCTGGTTGATTGTTTAAATACGAAAATTTTAAATTTGTGATGTAGAATGAATACTGCCCTTTCATTAAATGTATGGAAAATGTGGTGTTGGATAGTTTTTATACAAAAGGAAGTATCCTCCATGGAAAACATGTTTTGAAAAGCTGAAATTAGAAGCAAAATCTGTTACTGATTGCTTAAAAAGTGTGCGTGGGAAAGAGGTGAGCTTTTTTTTTGTTGATCATTTCTTGGTGTTATTTTTCTGAAATTAGTTTTGATGTTCCTCGATTGAAAGTTATGTAACGTTATTTGCAGCTCGAATTCCTCTATGCTGCTGAGACAATAGCCCTTCAACCCCCTCATACATATGTGCCATGGGTTGTTATAGATGGCCCAACCACTTTATGAGGTAAGTTAAGTTGTTCCATATTTCATATTTTTTGCACTTCCAATTTTCATATGTAGTCAAGAATTTCTGTAATTCTGTTAGGTGCGCGAACAAAGTCTCATATTGATAGCTGAAAAGAAAAAAATAAGCTACATATAGTTATATATAGTGTAATGGTGTGAGACCTTTTATAGAGAATCATATGAATCTGGCCTAAAACAAACAATATCATATTATATTAAGGGTATCTTTGAACCAGTTTAACCGAACAATTATATTTGTTTCACTTTTGCAGGACTGTGAAAATTTCATAAGCTACATTTGTAAAGCTTACAAAGGTACTGCTGCTGTTCCAGCTTGCAATGCAATTCAAAAGGGTAGGAAAATTAAGCCTTTTGGTTTCACAAAAAGAAGTAATTCTAAGTTATCAACTATATCTTCAGCAATTTCATCATGAATGAAGAAGCTAAGTGCATTATTATAAGTGTACATGCTGCTTTTTTAACCCTGCTTTTTTGTAATATACTCTGTTCTATAATGCTGGGATTTTGTGAAATTATACTTGTAAGTTGTAATTAGTTCATGTAGAAGTTTGTGTATAGCAGAAAAATACTTATTGTATATTTAGATTTTAGAGAGAGAGTTGCTTGATTGTAATGTATTAATTGATTGAGTAGAAATATTAAATATGGGATGAAAAAAAATAGTATGAAATATGACCTTCGTACATCCATGTATTTTGTTAACAAAAAGGCCACCAATGTGTTTGAGTCCTCATTTTAAGACGGAGTATCCAATCTCAGAATATGATAATAGGTGCACTAGTTCAAAATTGGAATAAAGATAGTTGAGCATCTATTACTTTAAATTACTAGACTCGTTAAACTAGTGAGATTGTCATAATACTTAGTAGAGAATTGTTACTTCATTAGGATTTGTAAGGTAAAATCTAATTTTCCTTGCTTGTACTTATTCATGTTGAAGATTTTCTTTTATTATTAATAAAAAAACCATTAGATAGAGACGCTTTGTCTAATGTTATAAATTCGTCGGAAAACAAAAAAAAGTTTGTCACAATAGGTTAATCAAAGAGTGATAATTGGATATTCCAATTTTCTAAATTAAATTAATATTGTTAATCAGAAGATGCAATTACGTCGATATGTCCGAGTGGTTAAGGAGACAGACTCGAAATCTGTTGGGCTTTGCCTGCGCAGGTTCGAATCCTGCTGTCGACGAATTTTTATGCCAAGCCCATTGCTTAAATGGGCCTATCAGCTCATCTGGCCCATATTTTGGGCCTGTCATCTCATCTGGCCCAATTTTTTCCAGAGCTTGGGCCTTTCTGTTCATACGTCCGTTACATTCCCATAGGAAAATGTGTGTGTTTTTTCATGAAAGAAAAAACTTTGAAATTTCTTATTTATTTTAGTTTTTAGCTATACATAAAGGGGAATGAAAAGTGAAATCTCTATGGAGATTATACGATATAAATCGAATCTTCACTAATAAAACAAAAATGCAAGCAACCAATCTTAAATAGAAGAACTCTCGAGCATTTAACAATCTCAAATATGTTACGTAAACATTTACTCGAGATCTCACGTATCAAATTTCTGACAATGTGGGTGGTGCCAACTCAAATTTGATAGGACAAAATGGGAACAACAAAGGAAACTCTTCATGTTAAATGCATAGGAATCCTATTAAATGAGAAGAGTGGCTAAAGACCGTCTGGTGAATAAAAATACGGTGCACATATATTGTCGGCGACCTTTCATACACTTGGTCAAAATTTACCCTCTTTAGTCTTTTTCCCCATCCCTCAAATCTCCCTCCCCCAACTTTTATCTTTTTGTGTGGGACCTATAAATTTATCGATATTTACATATTCACAGATACATGTAAAACTACCATATAGTATATTTTATTGATTTGGTACTAGTGACTATTGTGTGTGTGACTAGATATTTTCCCCTAACCTAGTAAAAGTAGCTAGTATGACACGTTGCTTTCTTCTAGAAAGCAATAATAATTAAAGATAAACCCAAATTATGTAATCAATTAGATAACCTTTCATTTCGAAGATTCATCACGTACCCTACACTCATGAATATATCAATATATAACTACTCTTTTATTTATTTGTCTTGCTTAAGCGTTGAGTCACATTATATTAGGAGAAAACAAAAGTTCATAATGAATGATTCCTAGGACAATTATTTTTAATTTGTTTGGTGTGATTGTCCTAATTAATTACAGCAGCGGAGCCACAATTGAAAAAAGGGATATGATAAGAATTTAAAGTTTAGGAATTCTGATAACTTTTCATTTGCAACATTCTTTTGATCTCAAATTGATTTATTTTTAATTAATTTAAAATTTTTGTACATATATATTTTCAAATCCTAAACAATGTGCTCTTGTTGTTTTATGATGTGTTGTCAATATTTTTTCAATAAAGTACTTCGTATATTGACCATGCTTTTCTATAGTTATAATATATGCATGTATTGCGCACCATGCTCAATAAATATTGTTCACGAGTGCCATGAACTTTTGGACAAAGACAAATAATTGCTCAGTTACTTTTACCTTTAACAAATACTATTACTGCTCTTTCATGTTTCATTTACATTATCATGATCCTATTTTATTTTTTAATCAGAGAGATCTCACATTTGAGTGTTAGATACAGAAAAAATCTTGTTAAGCGAGCCACAAGCATTTGCAATGTATTTTATGAAATGTGAATCTAAATTAGTGAGAATATTAAAATGAATATCGAACATCATGTATCTAAAAAAAATGTTTTTAAAAGATCAGTATTATTCCTTCAAACATTTTGACCACTCATTTTAATTGAATAAATAAATATTGAATACTTATTATTTAGGTTAGACGAGAATAAGTTGACAAATGGAGTAATAAATTAAGAATAAGAAAAATAAAGTTGAGCAATTCTCTTACAATCACTTTTTTTTTCCTCTCTAGATATTATTCTAAAGTCTGACGAGACATTTCTGCTGTAGAAGGTTGGCTTGAAAATTCATTATTTTGGGGAATGGACCAAATAATTGTGTGTATCTACTGACTATTCACTTAATTATCATCACTATTTCTGCCTTAGCCAAAAAGAATTAATTTAACCACATAGAGCTAGACCTCAGGAAAAAAGCTACTCCCTCCGTCCCATTTTATGTGACACTTTTTGGATTTTGAAATTCAAACAAGTCTAACTTTTATCGTAAATTTTTCATAGATCTTTTAAACATTTTGAATTATCAATTGTTGTGACTTATAGTATTTTTTACGTAGTTTACAAATATATAAATTTCATTTCAAAAAAATTGAAAATTTCATGTACAAATTTCCGGTCAAACTTAAACAGTTTGACTCTCGAAAAACGAAAAGTGTCACATAAATTGGGACAAAAGGAGTAATATATATGTTGAATTTCAAGTAAAAATGTTTGAATTCAATCATATATGGCTAAAATCAGAGGCAGAGTCAGGATTAGGAATTTGGAGGTTCTAAATTTTAGGATAAAAAAGTAAAATATTGTAAAACATGTTTTTTTTTTTAAAAAAAAAAGAGAAACTCTTGATGATATAGTGGAGTTTGAATCCACAACACTAAAGTACAAGCATTTCCACGGCTCATTCCTTACCACTGAGCCATCAATCAACTTTTTTTAGGGAATTCACTAGTTAATATACATATATATTTATTTATATTTCTAATACAAATACAAAATCTACGGAAAAACTATTGAATTTGTCCGAATCCACGAACCCTCACTAAGCTCCATGTCTTACTAAACTCAGATGAAAATAATTGAACTTCATATATATGTTGATTTTCAAGTAAAAATGATTGAACCTTAGTCATATATGCTTGAACAACATAATGAGTTTTTAACCATACTGTAAAAATGTTAACCTAAAAACTTAAGTTGAGTATTCAAATAACTTAAAATTTAAATAAGATGGATTTTCAACCAAATAATGAACAGTCCTATTCGAATTCCTTATCAAAGGACAAAGTATAAGCTGCGAGCATAAAAGAAATTTCCAAGAAATGAGGGATAGTTTTATTTCAGCAGTAAATAAAAGAGAAAAGTCAGTAAATAAGTAAGTTATTGTTAGAAAAATGAAAGTCAGCTGGAAAAGGGGAAATAGAAAAATGATATAAGGTGATCATTGGATTACATCAATCAGATTTGGATACATAAAATAATAAGGCATAATAATTCTAATAATTATAATATATATCGGAAATAAATAATCAAGAATATTATTGCGTACGTAGCCTTGCACAGGTGGAGGAGGAAACTTTTGTTTGTTTGTATAATTGAATGTTATTTTTTAAACAAAGATATGATAATTAAAAGCCAATGAATAGATTTCAACAATAAAATAATTAATGGATTTGAACAATAATTACTTCAATAATAAAATTAAAATAATGAATAGAATGGAAGCAATAAGCATCATCAGTTGGCTGAGGGTCCTTTTCGCACTAAAGAAGGTAGTGCCCTCTCCTGTTTTTTTTTTTAATTAAAAAAAAGTATACAATATATTATATTGTACTTTTATTATTATTATATAGTAGCTAATTATTCAAGGATGCCCTTATATTGTTCTTTTATAATTGCAGTTGATATCACCCCCAATACAACCTTTCTTACGTCTCATTCTTACCCAAGAAGACCTCAAGAACAGAAATTTGATTTTAAAATCTGGTTTTTATATTATATTTTATTTCTTTTTTGACTCGAGGTAATACCAGATTATATCTTAATGTTGGAATCGAAATAACAATTAAAATTTGAAATAAAATCCTAAATAAGTGTGTATATAACTTAAATTCGTTCAAATAATGACAGAAATTCTTCACTACTTCATATTTTTTAAACTAGTACAAATAATGCTAAAACTTGCAACAACAGTAACAATGTAACATACATACGGATACTATGTAATAGCTGAATTGTGACTATAGGTCTATAAAAAATTATATATACTTTCAAATTACTTGGAAGATAATTATATAAAATTTTAGAATAACTATATAATATCTCATTGTTAACTTGATAAAAATGGAGTACGTACTACTTATCCATAAGTTACTACATTCACTGATAAATGTAAAAAAAATATTTAATTCAGCTATCAATAATCAATATACACATAAAAGTTTTTTTTTTAAAAAACAGATAGGGTAACAAAATCTGGGGTAAAAGAAGGAGGCACCTGAAACTGCAAAAAGTCTGACGTTATATTTGTATGCTGCAGTTTAAAGACACACACACGTGAGGATATACAGTATATTTTTTTTCCATTTTCATACAAGGTAAAATAGGGGACCATATAAGATCAATTTTGAACTACTCACTTCACTCATTCTTACTGGTAAAATTGGTAAAACATGCTTAATGTTGTCTAAATGCAACATTAATTCAATCTCAGATGCAATACTTTTTGGATGATCATGGTGTTCAGATCGGCTTTCGTGAACCAAGACTAATTTCACGTGATACCTATCACCTCCCATCAGCAACATATATCATATCAAAAGTTACCGGACAGAAAGGAAGAATACCATTACCAATATATAGAGAGAAATATTCTTACCATCATGAATGATAATTCAACTGTCACTAAATATATTTTAGAAAAACAAATGTGATCAGAATTAAATTTGAATTCGCGCCACATAAGATTTAGATAATTCACAATTACTAACTAAACTTAAAATTGAAAATGAATAGTATTGTACTATACTGTTGTATTAGGAGCAGTAGGTGGCTGCTGACCAATAACACCGTCTCCGCCACTGCCACTGCCACCACCACTACCTCCTGCTTCTGCCGCGATAGCACTGCCAGCTGTCGCAACCGAACTCGATGTACTCGGCCGTTTACGTTTCTTCTTTTCATAAGGAATTCCTCTTGCTTTTGCTTGACTTTCTCTAACTTCCCTTAAATAAATTCTAACAGCTTTAGCACCAAATGGATTTGATTCAGGTTTTCCCCCATTTTCTTCATAAGCAGCTCTTAGCCTTCCAATTAGTGCATCAAGGCTACCCCAAGCCTGTTTCAACGGACAGGCACAAGGTGCTGGTGGATTTGGGTGCCCGAAATACGGGCACCCGGTCACGTGCACTTTTGTTTTCCCAAATTGATCAAGGTACTTAAGGAACTCGATCACGTGAGCTCCGCTGCAACGGGCAAGGGTTAACGGCGGTTTGTGGTTCCTTAAGTACTGTAAGAAAGTATTCCAATCTCGACGTTTCTGTGACTCGTATCGACTTGGTGGTGCTGCAGACACCGTTGTTGACTGTCCCCCCTCCGTCGCAGCGCTTGCTGATGATGTACCTGTACCTTCTCCTCCTCCTACTACTACTCCTTCGCTACCGACAATGTTTGGGTCGGGTTGTTCAACTCTAGATGTTGAATCCATAAAATGCTAGAATTTATGAGAGTAAAATATTATTGATAATAATTCCAATTTCCAACCTGTAATCGCGACGATCCAATTACTAACTCCACTGACTAGTGCTTTTAAAACCCCAAATTGTAAGGATGGAGCTTTTACATCCTCGTCTGACAGTTAGCTAAGAGAAAAGCTGTTACAAAATTCGCCTTGCAACGATGCTTCATCTATTTTAATAGTTCTAGCTAGTACTGAATACTAGATAGACAGACTGGTCATCAATGATTGCATAAGATATTTCTTTTGCTTGTCTAACTCAAACCCAGATAGTCACAATCACTCAAAATTGTTATATATGAGGAAGTCGAACACATTCAAATTCAAACTCAAATTAAATCAAGTAAAAGCGAAAAGAAAACCTTACTCAACAAGGCGAAAAGCGATTTCAATTTACCCTCTTTGTTTCTACAATTTGAAGCAAATCTTCGAGAAAACAATATAGTGAAATAATGGATAGAGCTCGATTACTTCGGATTTTTTAGAGAAAAGAAGAAGTAGGAGTATTTCAAAGTTAGACAGATGATGATGCGACCTTAAGCAATACACTGAATGTGCGAGAGTTAGAAGTGATGATGAGACTGTTTTTTTGATGAATTGAGAGAAATTTAAGAGAGAGAAAAACTATACAGTATATAGTAATTAGAAGAAGAAAGAGTGAAGAAAAAAAGAAAATAGAGAGAGTAATTGAGAGGGTGGTGGGGCCTAGCGGAGTGAAGTGGGGCAGAGGGGGTTTACTAATCACACCACCGGCGGCCCCGCCACTCTCAATATGCATTTGCACTGTTTCATTATCTTGTCTTCTATTAGTATTATCAAATGTATTATGCACCCACTCACTTTGACTTAGGGTACGTACCCTTCTTTCAAACCACATGATTTTACCATCTCCGATTTACTACTTTTTTTCGTTTTTACTCCCTCAATTTAAAAAAGAATAACACTCTTTACTTTTTAGTCTGCTTAAATTTTTTTTGACATATTTCTCTTTTTGATAACATTTTAATTTCAATTTTTTCAAATGACATGTTTAAGGTCACAAGATTAAAGGACAATTTAATACAATTGAGATAACTTTAATTTAGGACCACAGGATTCAAAAGTCTTTTTTATTTTTTAGAACTTAGTGCCAAGTCAAACTAGACCATTATTTTTTAAACAAAGGAAGTACTTTTTTAGAAATTAAACTTCAAAAATATGTTTAACTATAAAATTTTGAAATTTAACTTGAAATTGAATTTCAGAATTTTAACTCTAAATTACTCATAAAAAGTTAGAAACAATACCAATTTGTATTCATGGCCAACTACAATTTTCAATTTCAAATAACATTTTTCATTTTCAAAACAAATATTCCATCTATTTAAAAAATAATGATCTACTTATTTTTTTTGGCAACACTTTAGTTCTTGCTTTCTATGTGGCATGTTTAAGACCACAATATCAAAGGACATTTTTATACATTTGACAAAATTTTAATTTAGGACGACAAAATTAAAAAATCTTTTTTATTTTCTCAAACTCCACGTCAAGTCAAACTAGGTCATTTTTTTTAAATAGAGGGAATTTTTTTTTTCACACACTTAATTTGACTAGGCACAAATTTTAAAAAAGTAAGATTATTTTTTAATATTTTTATCTTAAATAATATAAATATGTATAATATACTAAATAGGGACACATGACTCAATCTTATCTGTCGATAAATGTCGGATGGTGGATAAGATTATGACACGTGTATGTCCGTTAGTATAAATGGTATATATGCTCTAGTTTTTGGACGGCAGAGATACCAATGTGCCAAAAGTATAACGGAGGATATTTGCATACCATTTACAATAATTCAGAGATATATTTATCTTTTTTCCCAAAAAATAAATAAGATAGACAAAATTGGACCGGAGAGAGGGTACAACAAATGAAAGAATAATTTTCACACGAAAGTAAGTATTATTAATACAACTTGTGATTTGTTAACATTTTATTGATACAATTCGACGACTCACGCAATGTTTGTTTTTTGGAACAAAACGTCTTTCATAATTATATTAATCATGCATAGTTTACGCTGACAATCTACGCCCCCGTCCCCCCGAACCCATCACACACACATAACATAGTACTATTTTATTTTATTTTAAAACTATTGAAACTTATGGGCAATATATTAATTAATAATATATGTGTAGTAATACATTTGTTTATTAAGAATAGAATAAGAAATTTAAAGTTAATCATTTTAACTTATAGAAGTATAGATATGTATCATCATTATTCCTTATTCTTCCAAGTAGAAACTAATAAGAAAAATATATCACATAAAATGATATAAGAAAATATGTATAGTAGAGTAGCATTTTTATTCTGAACCTACTTCTAAAGGAACAAATAAAATATAACAGATAGGTACAATTTTAATTTTATAATTTTATAATTATTCGTACTTAAGTCAATTAATTTAAATTTACATCATATAAGATTCATTAAAAAGCACTCTCGATCAGGATTTATTTTATTCTTGAAACTCGAAATCTAAATCAGTTACAATACTAGAACGGTTGATGTTGCAGACAATTTGATTCTATGAAATCACACTGAACGACTTGTGAAAAATAATCTCTAGCATTGTAGAGTGACATATTAGAATATATAGATCTTGTGAAAAGTTGTTACTACAGATACATAGTGGACAGATGTAAACTAAAGTCAAAAAATCCCAAATTATACTTTTGATAATAAAAAGAATTCATTTTTTTTTATAAAATAAAACGTTAAGGATTCAGGGAGCAGATTATAAGGTGAAAAAGCAAACGTTCATTAATAAAATAAAAATTCAGATAAATGAACGTTCAAATTGTCAACTAAACTGAGTTATAAACTTCAGAAATCCATGGTTTAATTTGTAATTGAATGGTGCAAATATTCATTAATTATTTAACTATCCAATTCAGAACTTCACATCACTAAAAGTATAAAGTACGAATATATACACACACTATTTATTTATACTGATAGATACTATAAACTTAACAAGCTCTATTAGTTGCACGGTTAATGCATTTTCACTTATGCGTAAAACTGATAAATTATCACTACCTTTTACTAATATATTTTAATTTGCTGTGCTTTACGAATTCTATTGCCTCTGTCAGTGGCGGAGCCAAAATTTTTAATAAGGACGTTTAAAATCTGAGAAGTAAACACATTATATGTTGCCTCCGCCACTGGCCTCTGTCAACGTACAACTTTTGCCGTCTTAATTTATGTGATTTTATATGATTTGACACAATTTAAGAAAGAAAAAAAATACTTTTGAAATTATAGTTCAAAATAAAATTTTTGATATTTATATAGTTATAATTATAAAATCATCTAATTAAGAGTAAAGAGAAATTTTAAAATTAAATTCTTTGTAATTATATAGAAAGTTACATTTTTTGTGGGACGAACAAAAAAAGTCAAATGATCCATTGGAACGAAGGGTGTAATTACTACTCCATCCATCTCAAAATAAATATCATCTTAGAAAAACTCATGTTCATTAAGAAATTGAGAAATTTTAGTAGCTCAGTTGGTTGACTATCTAAACTTCCATATTGTCGGTCAAGGTTCGATTCCCCACATTGTAATCCCCCTCCCGTACCCCCAATTTTTAAACCCACCAATTTTTTTTAAAAAAACGTTTATTAAGAAATCAATAAATATAATATGTAGCTTAGTAAATGATCCTTGTTTTTATTCTTTTATTTGTGTTGCACTTGTATAGTTCTTGTATAATACACATTATTGTCATTGTCATTTTATTTGTATTGCACTTGTATAAATCTTTTCATGTTAATTAGTTACTACTGTAATCATTTTATAAGCATTATATAAAATTACATCATTGTCCATCACACTAAATTATTAAAGAAATCATATATTTTTTAATATACATTTTCTTATTGGTTAAATCGAAAATCAGATTACTAAGGATAAAAATTGATAAACCAAAAAAAATAAAATCTTATTAGTTCAGTAATTGATTTACCATATTTAAAAATAAAAATCTAATAAATAAAATTAATAATATATAAAATCGAACCAAACAACCATAGAAGCATAAAACAAATGTGAATAATTAATTTTCTCCTTTTCTCTTTTTAATTAGTTGTCACTTGTGTGTGGTGCACATAGAATTGGTTAATGGCAAAATGGCATCTTTAATTGGTCAAGGAAGTGTGGGGCCACTGTACGAACTTTACTTTTGCAGTGGGATTCCAAATGTCAGAAATGCCAACCAAATTATGGAAAGTGCCATAATTTTAGCTCTATGTACCAAGTAATTTCCTATCGAGGCCTGTATGATTTTTGGAAAAATCCTTTTGGCCATAAAAATTTTATCATAATTTGACCAGAATGAAAAAAAGACATGTTCACATTATAAACTACTTTATTTTTAGATATTTTTATCCTTTAACTTAAAATATTAAATATATTCTTCAATTATGTTTTCAATACATTGGAAATAATTAACGAGATTAATTATTGATGATTTCATAGTTAAACATGGGAAAGAAAGCAAAAAATTCACCAAAGAAAACATAAGTCTCACGCACTCTTCTCACTTGAAATTTTCAAGATCTAAAAAAATAAAAAATAATATATATATATATATATATATTACAGTAGTAGTAAAAAAATAAAAAAAAATATATCTCTTTTTCAATTTCAAATTTTTCCCCGTTTTACTTTTTTTTTTTGTTTATTTATTTTCCATTTCTTATTTCTTAATGATAAGAAATTTTTTGAAAAGTATAAATGAGAGTAAAGTGTAGATTATCTATTTAAATTTGTAATTTCTAATCATGAAAGATAATTTATATCTAAATTTAAATATTAAAGATTTATATCAACAACGCTCAAAAATAAAATCTGAAATTGACCGAGTTGGCTAAACAATTACAATTATTTATTTAAAGGAGTTGTTGTTACGCATTAATTTTCTAGAAAAAAATTAATGAT